CTGAAATAGCTAAATTAACTTTGAGCATACTGATAAAAATTAGGGTGTGAATTCGGAGTTCAGGATATATTAAACTTCCAGAGTAGATGTCAAAAACACCTTCAAGAACAGAAGACATAGCAATATTTTGGAAAATGCGAATTTGAATCAGCAGCCTTAAACAATTTCAGTAATTCCTGTCATTTTGCTATTATAATCCACTTAACTGAAATTTGAGATGATGTAGAACCAAGTTCATTAGCCAAAGTTACACATTTATCAATGAAATGACAAATTTGCAAAGGACACAATTCTAAGTTCCCTTTAAAAGTTAATACAAATGTTATAGATCCTGTCTGGTTTACCATATATCCTCAAGACTGTTCTGGCATTGAAATATACTTTAACTCCCAAACCCAGCACTGTATAAATTCACCCCGTACACTGAAATTTATTGTTAGGAGAGGGCTATTTTTAAAAGGCCTTATAGTTGTAAAATACAGATTCCACGGTATCATTTCAATTTTCAATAACCATTTCACTTAAAAAGACCAACTCTGAAAATAATGTTAACTACCAGGAGCTCCTTAACACTGTTTCTTTTTAAATGTAAAACCTAACAACAAGGCAACGAATGTCTTTATTCAGAAAACAGTTTAGGTATGGTCATTAAATAAAATTAGGGGAATTCCTCTGAAAACTCATTACAACTCTAAAATAGTATATCCTTAATTTAGATCAAATATTTAACAGCAAAAATGGTAACCTAGGCATTTGAGGGTCTCTCCATATACTTGGGGACAGATACTTTAAAATCTGCCCTGAAAATAACAGAAGTCAGTCAATTCCAAATGGCAGTTACCAACTATAGAGGTATACACTGCCCATTGTTTTTTTAAGGTAGTGATAAGGAAGCATTTATATCAAGCTATGAAAAGGCTTTGTCTACAGGTCATATTATTACCAAAGGCGCACACACGAAACCTTTGCATGCTACATACACAAAGGAAACACATTTACACTACTAGTCCACAAAAACCTATCCTAGGACTGTGCCAGGGGCACACAAGGATTTTCAAAGTACAGAAAAAACGGCGCACACAAATGCAGTACAAAGCAGCCAAGAGGTATTTCCTCACAGTGACTTTCAGGAAATGTTTCAAGATGAAAAGCAAAAATAATCTTAAATCTCTTGGAATCGTGGGTTGTCTTCGATGTATTATTCTCAAGACGTAGGCTGTTTTCTCCCAACATACTGTGTTAAACAGAAGTAAAGCACTTCTAAATAAAAGCAAGTCGTCAGCCCCAATTGTCCATACGATTTGCTTTTCATTAAAAGTTCAAGTTTCTCAAGGTCTAGACGTATAGCGTGATCATGTTACAGTACTCGGGAAGAGCATTTTCTTTGTTGTTGACCCTGCTAGGGAAACAGGTCTTGACTCAGCCAAAGTGGCGTTCTTGTGGGTGATTAATGACAGGCCTAGATCTCGCCCCAGTGACATCCATCCCCACCCCTATCCCCTCGGTACTAAAATCGCCCCTGTCTCGACTGGGGCAGGGGCTGCCACCTCGCCTCAAGCCACTCAGTCCCAGAGTTAATCGCTGCAACCAATCGATTCTGGGAGTCAGACTTTGAGATTCGGGTGAAATGTGACCCTTCTCTCGCCTAAATTTATGAATAATATCGCTTTTTCTGATCATTTCCGCTGGGGCTCTCCGGACTACGGAAACACTCAATTCCAGTCATTCAGCCCAAAGAAAAGGACCTTCCTCTTCCCCACAATACCCGGCGAGGCACGGCCCCTGCCCACCTCACCTCCCGATCCCCCCACCCCACCCCCAGACATCACGGCATTTCTATTGTGTCTCCAAGGCTGGAGGGGCTCACAGAATGAGGTCGCCCGACTACTTCGCGAGCGGCGCAGGCCGGCATCCACCCCCGCACCCGCCGTCCGCGCCCCGGGACCCCGGTTCTCCCGCCCCGTCCCACCTGTGGTGAGGCGGGAGGAGACGTCGCCGAAGGGAGACGGCTCCATGCGGAGATACTTCTGCGGCGAGGCGGTGGCGGCCGAGAAGGAGGCGGCGGTGGCCGCGGCCGCTGACGACGGAGAGGCGGCCGCTGAGGTGGGCGCCGACAATGGCGCACATCGCCTGCGCTTCGGGGACGCAGGGCTCAGCAGCGGGTCGAATTCCAGAGTCCTTTTCAGAGTGGCTCCGCACGCCATGGCCCTGGCAGCCGCGGCGCCGGGCTCGGGAGAGGCCGGGGAGGGCGAGGGAAGGGCTCGGGACTCGAGGAGAGCCTAGCCGACGGGCTCAGGAGAGAAAGGCGGTGGTGGAGCGACGGCAACGGGGGGAGAGCCGCCGCCGCCTCGGCGGAGGGGCAGCGGCCCGGCCCGGCGGGGGCTGGAGGGGCGGTAGCAGCCGCTCACGCCAGCCGCGTCAGGGGGCTCCGCCGTCTCCTCAGGTGCGGCTCCCCCGGGAGAGGCTCTGCCGCCCCCGCCGTCCGTTCGAGCTCTGCGCGGCGGCTGAGGCGCCCCTGCGCTGAGACCCTCTCCCTTCGAAGTCGGTACCAGCCCTGGGACGTGTGAGGCCGGAACGCGGCTCCTGATACGCCCGGGCAGGGCCAGAAGCCGAGAGCGGCGGTCGATGTGAAGGGATTGCGAGGTGCTGGCTGCGGCGGGAGCTCAAGCACAGACGTCCGGCCGCCTCCCCCTCCACCGCAGGACTCTTCCACCCGCCGCCGGCCCCAATATGGCGTCAATAACAACGCCGCCGATTCAAATTCTGCGGACTCAGGGCGCATGTGCATAGGAGCGTGCACGCCCCAAAGGCTCATTCTGGGGGTTGTAGTTTTTCACTGCGGAGGAGTATGCGTGAAAGGCGGTGAGGGAGGAATCACTCAAACTACGACTCCCGGCATTCAAGGCGGGCGATACCGAGTTCCGGGTTGGAATTTAAATCCCCCTCAGCTTCAGCTAGAAAAAAGAGCCAAGTAAAAGAAAAAGGCGGTGGGAGAGTCGGAGAGAGAAAAGAAAACCGGTAGGGAAAACAGGCTTAAAAGTCCTTTAAAATTAAGGATATAGTCCTGGTATAGCTCCCACAGTGATTTAACAACTGGGAAATAGAAAACTAAACCAACCTAACAGTCTCCAAGAAGGATTGATTAATTTTCTCCAAGAACATTAATGGTAAGAAAGAGTGCCAGAAACAAAACCTGTCACATCGATGGGCTAGGAAATAATAAGGTTATGAAACCTATTTAGGACTGCAAGAGAGAACAGTGATAGTATCAGGTTACAGGATCCTTGCTTGAACTCGATGCTTCGCCCTAACCAGGTAGTTGCTTGCATGCATTTATTCAACAAAGCCAGCTTTACCCTGCAAAATGAACAGGGTTTGAAGGACACACAGAACCAAATTGTTTGTCTTGGATTAAAAGCGAGTGATATCAGAAATGGTCCTATCTCTGCTGAATATTGGTGTGTATCTTGTGAATGGTAAAAATTAAAAGACAATGAAATGTCTAGAGAGTAGATATTGGACCCATTTTGTAAAAGGAGAAAAAAATTATTCCTAAAAGTTGTACTTTCATCCAGGTGCCTAAAATAATAAAAAAAACGCATTAAAAAGTGATTTGTGTAAAAAATTGTCACCAGTCCTTTGTCTATGGAAACTATTACCAGTCTAATACAAACTAGTTATCTGAATGCCGTATCAAATGATCATAGATACCAAGTCCTAGCTTCTGACGCTTATTTAGTGCTGCCATTTATTCAGTAACTAAAAGATGTGTGTACCATTTTGTCTGTTACTCTTTATATTGTTCTTGGACAGTAGTTCAATATGTTTATTCTTGTTTTATTGAGTTGTCCAACCCCTCAAAGATCAGCAGTCCTGATCACATTGTTTGTGTCAACAGCTAAGCTGTGATAAGCAGTAGACTCATAGACACTGAGAAGTGTTACCATAGGGAAGGGGCTGGCAGAGGGAGGAAGGGGGTGAAGTAGGTGAAAGGGATGAAGAAACACAAAATCTCAATCATAATATAAATTAGTCACGAGGATGAAAGTACAGCATATAGACTATAGTTCTGTAACATCTTTCTATGTTGACAGTAACCACTAGTTGAGGTGAGGATTTAATAATGTATATATAACTGTTGAATCAATATGTAGTATAGTTGAAACCAATATAAATTATATATCAACTATATTTCAATTAAAAAAAGTTGCCAACATGTATTTATAGGAACACTTTTAGCTATCTTTACAAGTATAAATGAAATAAAATTCTTAAAGTGAAAGGAAAAAAAACAACTAAACTGTGATAATTTTAAGATATTGTTTGGAAAATATCTTTTGAAAAATATTAACGTTTCATGAAATAGCAGCTTAACTATGACACCTAATATGTAAATTTTTACTAAATTCTAAACACTCCATGAAATCTATGATATGGTGACATTAACAGAATATATCTATTTTATCTAAATGAATAGAAAAAGACAGGTTAAGCCATGGAAAACAAGTAACAAAGCATTTAAATTCCTGGTAAATATTTTCTGAAATTAAGATTTGACCTTAAATTATAGAACTGATACCAGAAAAGGAGAGTAATGAGTTGAATTGTGTCTCCTCAAAACTTGTATGTTGAAATCTAATCCCAGGCATCTCAGAATGTGACTTTATTTGGTATAGGGTCATTTAAGATATAATTAGTTAAGATGAAATCATACTGAAATAGGGTGGGCCCCTACTCTAATATGACTAGTATTCTTATAAAAAGAAATTTGGATACAGACAGACTGAACATCATATGAATAGGGAGGCAGAAATCTGGGTGATGAGTCTACAAGCCAAAGAAAGCCAAAGACTGCCAACAAACCCCCAGGAGCTAGGGGAGAGGTTTGGAACAGATTCTCCCTCACAGTCCACAGAAAGAACCAGCCCTGCCTCAACCTCAGATTTGCAGTCTCCAGAGCTGTGAGACAGGAAATTTCTGTTGTTTAAGCCATCCAGTGTATGGTGCATTGTTACGACAGCCCTAGGAAACTAATACAGGGCAACTGTGATTGTCATTGGAGTTACACTAGACTGCCTAGAAAATGAGGGAAGAGTTGTATGTAAAGGTGGTTGGGGTTATCTGGTGAACTAGACACAAGTCATAACAGCTGCTCATGCAGACACCACCACACAACATTACCTGCAACAGGCTTTCTGTCATGACTGAACAGTGACAGAGCTGGGTCAGCCTTCCCTCCCACCAATGACTAAGGAGCCTGTTCAGAAGCTAAGAACAAGGAGAACCCTTCCCTAATCACCTGGGCCTTTGCTCACGCTCTCTGCTCCACATTTTTTGCCTGACTTCTTACCTTTTAAGACTCAAACCAGTCATTAACTCCTATAGGAAGCCTTCCCCTAACACTTCAAGGCTGAATTAGTTATATGAATTCACAGACACCTATCTGCCTATCTTCATCATTATCCTCACCACAGTTAATACGATTCTGTTCATGAATCTGCCTTTTCCACCACTGTATTAACTCCTTGCCAATAGTATAATACCTTGCACACTTCAACAAATACCCAATGAATGTTGCTTAAACATTTTTTAATCACCTTATCCCCCCGGCAGCCCACATCATCCTTGTCCCTTAAGTTAGATATATACTATTATAGCAACTCTTTTAGGATAGAAGAAAGCTATTGAAAGAAAAAAACACCAAAACCTAAAAAAAAATTTCTTTGACTAAAATTAAAAATAATACTTGAAAGCCCTGAAGTCTTAACATAGTTTAGATGTGAGTTTTTATTTTGTTGACCAAGAAGAAAACTATATTTAACACATTAATAAGCTGAATCAGGTCACATGAATCTAAATATATAATACAGCTAATGGCTCCAGTGACCTACACAGACCAGAATTGTTCTTGTTGTGAGTAAAAGGTCTATAACAAGTTTTAAAGGCTTCAAATATTTAGGATAGCTTTTAGACGATCTATCAAGTATCTTCTAATTTGTACAGTTGCAGAAGCCTCTGAAATCAAACTGTTTTACCAAGATGAAGCTCTTCTCTCGGTATTAGGTTTTTCTAACACCTCCCAAAATATTCCCCAGGATCTGATTCTGATGAGTCATTCTTTGACTAAAGCCAGTAAAAGTAGACATAGCTAGATGACACAAAAACTCATTATCCTGAGCCTGAAGATCCTCTCTTACAATAAATCATTTTCAAACAATTGTTCTGACTTCAAATAAAGATAAATGCAAATATGGAAGGTGTGGAGAGGTATCTGCTGACTTGGGAGGCTGAGTCTGAGTAATTCTAGGCTCAGCATTAGGAACAGCAGTTCTAATTCAGGAGTCACTTCAAATCTATATTCAGAACAAGGATTGCCTAGAGCAAAAAGAAAAGAGAAGGAAAACTTGTTCAATCATATAAATGAATGCAGTAGGAGAGAAAAGACAATGTAATTCCTGCCACATTAGATTTTGCAGGCTGGCCAGAATCACTTCTGAGTACCATACTTGGAATGCATACTCTTTTTCATTGTAGATATAATGCTGGCTAATTTTACTTTGCTGTCATTATTTTGGATGTGGTCTTTATTTTGAGTTGATTGGAGTAATCACACTATGTATCTGTGAGTGATTTCAAGATGTCACCTAGTCTAGTCCCCAGCCTGAAGGATTGATTACCTGTAAACTACTCAAGCCAGATTAGTATGTATCTGGCTCTTTCTAAAGATTTCCAGGAACAATATCCAAAATCCTGTTGTGAAAATACAATTGCAAATTCTCTTCCATGTAGCTTTAACATCTTCTCCATCAGTGGCTGATTTCTACTCGTATAGTGTTATGTAAAAACAGTGCATTCCAGTAAGTAAGGCAGGATTCATGAAGGACTCTGAAAGAAACCACAGGATAGCTTCTGGACAGTCAAAATAAGTTTTTATGAAGGCCTTACTTTAAAATTTACATACCTTTCTCAAGTATGCACCCTCAAGTGCCTGTATCCTCCTTCAGAAACTACTCTTATTTTTCAGAAAAATCAAGCATGTTTGGGGATCTTATTTCCCAGCTGAAACCAGTTAGAAGAACCAAGTACAAGGAGAGGGAATGGGAATGAAGATGCTATACACTGACTACAATAAGTGAAATGATTATTGGGTAGCAAAGAAAGAGATTAAAAAGTAACCACAAAATTCAAAAAGTGCAACAGCCTCCTCGAGTCACTGAAGTGTCAGGACAATCAGCCCAACTGCACGGAGGCATCACTGTATTGTTGAAGCAGCATTAACGCGGGAGAGAGGTGCCAGATTTAACAAATAAAAATATAAGGCCCCCAGTTAAATTTGAATTTCAGATAATCAAGGAATAGTTTGTTAGTACAAGTACGTCCTTAAAGTACCTGTGTTTATCTGCAAACTGCCTTAATCCTGTATTTTATGTGGCAACCATACCTAAGAGTGACCCTGTGTCATCTAAAGAGCACAAACTATGTTTAGCATGATTTCAAAAAGTATGGAACAGATCTGATAGTAGACAATGTTCCATTGATAGTATTTAAGATTAAGAAAAGCAAAACTTCAGTCGTCTAGAAAGTTAATTTATCTGAACCGCTTTCAGCCATACATATTCTATTCATTGCAGAGTGCCAGGCATAAACACTTAAACTTCGGATAAATGGTGAAGTTTTATCCAGCAATACCCTGGTCGGGGGATACCTCAAGCCCCTGAAGGCTGGCCCTATAGCTGCTGCAGGTCATTTAGTTTTAGCATTCCTACATACCTTCTACTGCAGGTGTCAGTTCTGTTGTCCTGCTCGAGGCCAAGTCTGACTCAGAGCTGGTGTCAGTGTCCATGTTGGGCTCCCATTCCCTCTTGTGTCTGTTGTCCTGGGTTTCCATGGTGCCACTGTGAACCTTCCCCAATGAGGCTTTTTGAGAGAATGAGATGGTGCCTACACTTCCCCAGTATTTTGGGCTTCCTCCGCTAGCCCACTCTTGTCAGGACCAGGCAGGTGTGTGGTGTGGAGAAAATGAAGAAACAGTCCCCTCTCTTCCCCCAGGAGCAGCTTTTCCAACCCCACCCTGTGAAAACAAGCACCAACTTGGGACCAATTATTGGTCATTTGAAGCCTTGGGGCCTGTATTAAGACTCGGGCTTCACTGGGTGCTTAAGAGACTGTTAGATTTCATCTAGAACTTGTGTCCTATAAGTTATTCTTATTCTTTGTGGTCTGATTAGTCCAAAAAATCATTCCCATCTTAAAGGAGATAGTCTCTGCTCTTAACAGAGTGTGCCTCTGAGCAGCGGGACGTGCATGGGGCGCATCAGTGGGAACAAGATGAAGAGGACATGGTTCCCACCTCAAAGAAGCTTACTTTCTACCTTCTCTGATTGTTTGAAGATTCTTTTACAAAAATCCCATTTATCATAATTATTTGAAAGTGAAATATAACTTTCTGGAAAAAATAAGTCATCTCAATTACCATCAATCTGGACACTAAAAGCCAGGACATCTCTGTGTTGCCAATGGATTTCAGCCCCGGACAAGTTCACTATG